TTTTAGCAAGTACTAGATTTCTAAGATTAAGCTAGCAGTTCTATGTATTATTAATGTCTTTCTCTGCAGATATTGCTGAATCAGGGTATTATAAATGAGTCTGTTATTTTTTATTAATGACTGATCTATAAAGTTGTGTAACTGTAGATACCAAACTGTGTTGTCCTCAGAAATCAGCCAGCCAGTGCCCCTTCCAAGGGTTAGGTTAGATACTATGCATCATCCCTGAATGGTGGTCTGAGGGACACAAGCAGGGTTTTTTATGAAGTTCTAGTAATGGACCTTTGCACTAATCCAGTTTTGCAAGCTTTAGCTTTTTTATTTATATAACTGCTTATTGGTTTCAATTATTAACTTGGGGAGATAACTTTTTCTTTCAATTATCAAGTGAGCTGGTCATTAAACTGAAGTCATTAAGATGTTTTAGGTTTTGTTATTGAAAAAAACCAATCAAACTCTTTAGATTAACATTGAACGCTCATACACTGTGTAGAGCTGCATAAAACTTGCAGTTCAGGGGATGACTCTACTCTTGCTTTTCAGTATTGCTCTAGATAACACAACACAGACATTCTTGGCATATTTTAATAGCTTTAGAGTCAGAACTGCATTCTAAGACTGCACCTGTAAGAGTGGTTCTGGAGATTAGTAGGAAATCCTACAATTCTTGGCATTTAAGTGAAAGGGTATCCAATCCCAGACAGGATTTCCAGGACATGGTATCGACTTAAGCTAAGGAGTCCTGCTTATGAAAAGCCCCTATACCTCTGTTTCTGTTCCTAAGCTGTGAATGAAGGTATCAGTCTCAAAAAGAAATACCTGGTTTGGCTGATGGTTTCAAAAGTAATCACTAATTTACCTTAGCAGGATTAGGAAAACTGGAATTAATCCTTTGAATTTAATAAGATCTGTTGTAGGAGCATAATGAAAATAAGGTTTAAAAAAGATCCTATGTTTAGAAATTCTTAAGTTTAGAATTTAGAAGTTAAAGAAAACAATTATGAAATTATCACTAGAACCAAAGGACATGGCACATTTAAAAGGAAAAAAAATAAAATTGCCTAATAACTATTCATGCTTGCATTTTGTATTTTTCATGAAAGCTTGTGGAATGTGACGTAAAGGAAATCTCTGAAGATGCTCTGTGTCCACATTTGTGTGTACATAGCAGTGTGATGCCTCCAAAGAGGCACTCACAAAACCCTTTTGCCAGTGTACCATTTCACATGGACTAGAAAGGTGTTCTTGTTCTTATTTCCATGATGAACTCCTATCACATGAGAAATGTTCTCTAGCACTGATAATATTTAAATACTCTCTGCACAACCACACTATCTTTAGATGAAGAAGAAGTTAAGGCGGTCCTACCCCAGATAAAATTTGTCACAAAGTCAAGTACACTCTTGTGGGAAATAGGCAATATGCGTTCAGGTGTCTTTGGGCAAAAGGTATTCAAAATTATGGCTTCTAGATAAGTGCTCTAATTGAGTTAAAGGGAGATGATACCACTTGGTCTTGCCGTTTTCTGTAACCCATCTTCTCATTTGATTGGGTTTTTTTCCAATCTATTTCTTGGCCTGGGATAAATTTTTATTTCAGAAAGAAAAATTAGTTATCGAACCAGTCTTTGTTGTTATTTTGGTTTTTTGTTTGATGACCAGGATTTGCACAAACCTATTATTTTCATTCTTAATTATACAGGCTGAATTCTTTCATTACGTGTTAAAATATAATTGAAGAGCTATTCAAATTCAGATGAATGATTATGTATTAGATAATTTAGGTAGCTTATCTGCAGACAGTAGTCTTTCTTTTGACAACTCAAAAGATGAAGATTAATGAAAGTTCTGTGAAAGAAAAATAATAGCATTTTACAGGATATTAAGATGTGGAGATTTTTAGATTTCGTTCATTGAACAAGAATGTTTAAGCTCAGAAGGGAAAATTGCTCTGTTTGTGGAATGAACTTATTTTGGGAATGACATTCAGTACTTTTGTTTTATCGCCAGCCAGGCTGATCTTAAGAAAGAGACAGAAGCTTGTGCTCTAATGGCTGGGCATAAGACTTCTTTTCATCTTAATCCTACCACTAGGGAAATAATAACAAGGATACTAACAAAGATGACTTAGATATTACTTTTCACGTTCATTAACAGAATAAAATCTTAATTCTCTTTTTTCTATTTTCAGATAGTGCAGTTTTAGGCCAATAGTATGGAGAGCTTTAAATGCTAAAACTTTTTCACTGTTTTAGTGTCTGACCTGACTTTTCTCGTGGTAAAGGAAAGGCATCAAAATCTTCTGATAGGGAATACTTTTTTCTCATCTCTGGATCCAGGTTGGTTTTCCCACTGCCAAATTTTTTTGTCCTTCTTCTGTTGTGTAATCTTACATTGAATTTATTTTGGCATAATTTTTAACACAAAGTTTAAAAGTTTTCAAACTCAAAGTAATTTCTTTCTGTAAATGTTATGATTCCAAATACATCCATAGAATTTGTCTGTTTAACAGAGAAATTACTTTGCTGGTTAACAACAGGTCATAACACAACTTATTGCCTAGGATCAAACTAATAATTTAAGATTTTACTTAATGCTCCTAAAAAATGGAGAAAAGCTTCTACTCTTCAGACTTTGGTCATAAAACAGCTGTTTTTGTCAGTTGCACTTCTGCAATGGTTGTATCTGCCATCTTCATATTCATGTTTATTTTGTAACTGTATTTGGCACTTAATGCTGAAAGCTTCCTTCTTCTGTTTAGTAAAGTATTAATAGCAAATAGCAACAATTTTTATAAAATATTATTTTTTCAAGTAATAATTGTCTCAAAAAAAGCCTAGGACAAACAGTTAATGTAACGTGGTTTACCATGGATTTCTTCATAGATTTTAAGACTAAAAGATACCATTGCCACATCCTCTGTCTGCCTGAGTGTCATGGGCCGTGCCTAAGTTAGCCTCGTTGTAAATACATTAGCTTAAACCTAGCTGGGCTGTACCTTGTGCACGTGTCCTGAGTCCAATACACCAGGACATGGAGAGCATTTACTACCTTCCTGTGTGTGAACATCATCTTTGTAGTGAATTTGCCCCATTTGTTTCTTATAACAGAGAATATGCATATGACACTGGCTCTAAAGCCATAATATCCATGCTATTCTAACAAATAATGCCCAACAGGTAAGTGCTAAATCATAATAACTTCTACCTACTAGTAATATTTGCAGCCATCTAGTAGATAAATAATATATCTTCTTCAAGTTTCCCATTAAAAAGAGCAAAATAAGCAGCTGTTAGTTGTAAGCCTCATTGTTGTGGCTGAGTTAACTATTAAGAGAAGTTTCTGGTAGCGTGATAGATTCTCCCGTGGGTCTCTGCACCATAACTCTAATGAAAAGAGACTTTTTACTATTTTTTGGATAGGCATAAAGTAGCAAATTACTGCTACTTTAGGGATTCTTCCTTCCAAGCAATATTTCTGTGAATTGTAGCTTACAATTTGCAAGTATGTATTCAGCTGTAAATATCAAATATTATGGGGGACTTATGCTATCTCTGATTTCATTTTGATTTATTAAAAGTCACTTCTTGTTTTTCAGCACTGAAAGATGTTACTGTAACATAGCAATTTGCCAGAGAAGTACAGTTTGTGCTGTGAAGTTAAACCAGTTTTCCATCCAAGTCAGTCTCAGCTAGATGAAACTTCCAATGAAGATTGAGTATTTCTATTATCAAAGTAGAAGAACTGGATATTAAACCTTTCATTTATCCTTGTCATTGGGTGCAATCACTGTTCAGAAGGAAACTCTCCTTGTTATCTTTTAAGGACAAAAATATTATTAGATACTGTGGTTACCATGCTTTAAAATATTATTCGCAAGACATATCTTTGTAATGGTAGTAAACATTTCAGTTTCTTTGAATGTGGAACACTGGGGGAAAAATCCAAACAGTTTCATCAGTTGTACGTGCTACTGATGTAGATGGTTCAGTAACTGTAGTATCAATGCATTTTCAAATGCCCAACTGCTCAGCAAAGATTTCAAACAGAACCAACTAGAAGTCATGGTTCTAAGGTTAATCTTTTATTTGTCTAAAGGCTGAGAAAAGCTGTTTACCTCTGTGATAGGAATTGGAATCATCTTTAAAATAACTGACAAATTAATCCCCTTGCACCACTGCAATTGAAAATGTGTTAGGTTTATCTGGGTTTGTCTGATTACCTTGTCTTATGAAGAATAAAGGTGCTAACTTTGATGTTTCAAATTTAAGAGGGACATCCCAGACCCAACCATCTTGTATGTTTTAATTAATGATCCCAACTCTGTAGTGTTATCCTCACAAAAGAAGGCTAGAATAAAATCTTCTCCCAGTGATGCATGTGAAGACATGAAGGACTTTTACCTTTTGGAAAAAGGAACATATAGGATTAATTGATCTACCTGCAACATAGAATAATTCATATTTTTTTTCCTTCTTTAGTCATGTTTTATATTACTTTTTATTTCAGACTTGTTGATAGCAACCATATAGTGCAAGTTCATTTCAATAAATTGTGGAGTTACTACTTAGCAGTTTCAAATGTCTCCATAACTGTACCGTGAATTAATTAATTGATGTAATCCATTTTCATTTTCCAAAGCCATAAAAATCTCACATTTTTAAATGTATGCTGCTTGAGCAACTTGGAGAAAATAGCCTCTATTTCAAGTTAGAAATCTGTTATTCTGGGCAGCATTTTGTTTAACCGGGGTGATTAAATTTCTTCCTTTAAAATGAAATCAAAGCATGGGGTTTGATTTTGGTTTTTTCATTCTCTAACCGGACATTACAGTCTGTATATTTATTTTGTGATAAATGCACCCAGACCTATAGTATCAATGAGGAGCCCCATCCTGCAAGCCCACCCATTAGTCCAAAGTTTGTCCACTCTTCTAGCTTGCATAATGTTCCCCCTTTCATTCACTTTCTGCACATCACAGGTTCTATTCTTCTGTTGCAGGTGAACGAGGCCACAGTAGAGCAGCTGGTGCAGCAATATCCACATATAACCTTCAGTACTGTGCTGCAGGATTGCAAGAGAACACTGGAGCGGGCTTATCAAATGGGCTGGACACCCAATATGTCTTCTGGCTCCTAACCTTCTGTACCAACATGTTCCACTCTGCTGCATTCAGTAGATCTTATGGGGATTGAAGGGTTTTATAACCTTTCATATGATGCAATATAGTTGTGAGTTTACAGAGGTTACAGTAAAATGGCAAAAGCTGTACACTGACTTTAATGTACTGTACAACTAAGTACAAATATTGAAGCAAAACTTTAGAAATGCATTGTGGTTTTGTGTGCATAAAAGTCATAAAAGCCTTTGGCAAATTTCTTGAAGTGGATTCCTACTAGTTCTCTGGATAGTTTGAGTTATAGATGTTAAGCTTGTTTTCCTCTGTTTACTTTGCCTTGGTCATGTGTGTTTCCTTTGATCTGTAAATGGTAACTCAGTGCTAGCATCGGTGAAGTTGATCAACAGAGGCCTGTGTTGAAACCAGGAACTAAACCTGTTGCTTTTTATCTACTAAAGCTATGCCAGAGGTTTTAAGATACAGAGTAATAAGAAAATCTACAGTGAATTACCATTTTCTCATCTTTTTTTTCTTTAAATATAAGAAGCTGTAGTGTTATTGAAAATCTTTCCACCGTGACATTTTAATAATGAGTAACAGTGCTTACCAGCTACACTTCATGAAGACAAAGAATTACTCAATACACCAGCTAACAGAAATAAGTTGGTGATGCTTATTGTATTTGGCTGAAAAAATTTACTGTCTACTGTAAATGAGCTTGTCTTCTCTAACTGTGCTGTTCTGTGAATGAATTGGAAAAGTCAGATGAATGGGAATAAGTCAGAAACAGGATCCCTCTCATTTTCTGTGTGGTTTTGTTTTAGAATGGGCCTTACAATGCAAATAGTACTTACCTTGAGAAGGCCACTAAACGTGAGTCCTATCATGAGTATCAGATGCTTCTTAATACAGTGTGTGCAAGGAAATAACCAAATTAAACACATAAAATGAATAATTTTCTTTGTAGGACTGTTATGGCTTAACCCCAAACCGCAACCAAGTACCACACAGCCTCTCTTTCACTCTCTCTCACACATTGCATTCTAAGGAGTTAAATCTGAGCAGGGAATTGTGAAAATACAGACATTGCAGCTTCAATTTGGAGTTGCCTTAACCTTTAGAGTATTACCATTTGGTTAAGAATGTTGTCAGATGTGTAACACTGGATATTTGTTTTTCAAAGGTTACAGCATTTTAATCCAAACTATGAAATGCTTAAGCTTCAGCTGAAAAGTTGTCATTATTGTCAAAATGTTTTGCTAATCCAGAAGGCCTAATGCAGCATAACATAGAAGCTTGTTTAGTATGGCTGTATAACTCTGTAAAGCTCTTTGTTGATTTCCATAGCATAATTTTTTACAACAGAAACATCAGCTCACATTACTTCCAGTGAGGATGTTGAATGTTTTACTATTAGACTTTTCAAAATGGGGATGAACTAATTTCTGTGGAAAAAAAATTTATCGTAAAGACTTTGTTTAAAATAAATGGTAAATACTTGTGAACATGTGTAATGCTATGCTGTTTATTTACTCCAAAATGGCAACAATATTTTGAGAATGAAGTCAGTGAATTATATTACAGATACAGTACAGAATCTTAGTCAATTTTCTTTTAATGTCTCTTTATGAGTGCATTAAAACTATTTACACGATTTGTAAGTTTCTATTTTTTTGTGAAACCTTTGATCTTGCAATAAATTTTAATAAAATAAAAATGTGATGTTTTCTGTTTGTCTGTGCTGCTAATTGCACTTAAACTGTACTAACTGAGAGTCTGAAATCTCCTTCGTTGAATAGATAGAACTCACCTGGACATGATCTGTAGTGAACTGGCCCTGCCGTGATTGAAGGAGTTTAACTAGATGACATCCAGAGATCTTTTTCATCTCAAATGTATTGTAACTGTACAGATTTTTTAAATGTTGTGGGTCTGGTTGGTAATCTCTTTTCACTTCTGTCATTTAAGTCCAGTAGTTTTGTCTTTTACTGACTATCTCTCAGTTTTATGAACATACTAATCTGTAGATCTCACCATGACTAATTAATTTTAGTTTTATGTTATATAAGAACTCTAGATGGAAATACGTTTTTCTAATTGCAGTGTTGACACAGGTAGTTCCTTAATTTCCTTATATTAATCAGTTTCCAAAGTAGTTTTAGAGGAATAAATAATACTGCACACTTGTTAATTTTTGACATGTCATGCACGGGAAATATATTCTTGTGGAAGAAAAGCTACTGCCTCTTGTAAAAATAAAAATTACCCCTGTTTTCTCATATGCAAAACTTAAGAGTGAGCTCAAAAACTCATAGGCAGTTTCTGGATTCCCTAGGTCCTAAAGGCCTACTTTACTAGAAAAAAAATGTGCTTTTTTTCTTCAAATTCTTTGTGGGAACCTGCTGTTAAGATGCTTTTAACCTGTGGCTCAGCACTTCTCTTATCAGAAACATTTCTAGGATGGGCTTGTTCAGCCTACAGGAAACTCTAAGACAAACTTCTTAATTAAGGGGTATGTGGTTGTAGGAGAAAGATAATGTTTATTTTCAGTCATTCACTCTTTAAATCCAAGTGTAATTAAAGCTTAAAACAAATTCAGATAGTTCACCTGGTGATCATTTCACCCATGTCTCTCCACCTGAAGGCTATGTGGAGGGGAGTGTTCTCATGCAGTTTGTCTCACCAGGGGGAATGGATACCGGATGTTTCTCCTGCAGGTTCAACATCACTTTGTCCAGGCTCCCAGATTAGTGGGAAATTTAGTGAAATGCCAAATCCAAGGTTGCATAATGCCCTTCTTAGCAGCTGCTCTGTGTAGTACTAAGCATATTCTAATAATCTTTGAACAGGGACAAAGTGTACTTCTCTTAAAAATACCAAAACTGTGTAGTTGAGCCAGTTCTGCCCCATCAGATGAGATGAGTATCTTCAGGCTTACATGTGAATGTCCTGATACCCCAAGTGGGAGTTTTACACCCGAACCAGTGGTGCAGGGGAGGACATAACGTGGTAAAATCCCACTTCACATGATCTGCTTCTTATCAGCCTTCTCTGTTACCTGGCTCAAAAACCCAGCTTGCTGCCAAACAACAGTTGGTTTGTTGTGGTCTCCTTCACTGAGTCACCCACTCTGCACCTTACCTGTTCGTAGGCAGATCAGAAATTTTGCCACCACACACCTGAAAACTCCTCCCTGCTTTGGTTGGGTGTGCAAATCTGCCCCCAGCAAATCACCTACTTTTGCCAGTGGCTGATTGAGTCATTAACCTTTAACATTTCAGTCTCTCACACTCCCAGCAAAGGACAGACATGGACCTGTTGGAGCAAGTCCAGGGGAGGCCACGAGGATGATGAGGGGGATGGAGCACCTCTACTTTGAGGAAAGGCTGAGAGAATTGGGATTGCTCAACCAGAAAAAGATAAAGCTCAGGATGAAGTAGTTCTGGCCTTCCAGTACCTGAAGGGAGCCCACAAAAAAATGGAGAACTTTTACAAGATCATATAGTGACAGGTCAAGGGTAATAGTTTCAAACTGAAGGAGAGTAGGTTTAGATGAGATACAAGGAAGAAAACCTTTACTGTGAGGGTGGTGAAGCACTACAACAGGTTGGCCAGAGCAGCTGTGAATGCCCCATCAAGGGGACATCAAAGTCAAGATGGAGCTCTGAGCAGCCTGGTCTCTGCTGGTGTCAGGGGGATTAGAACCAAGTGATCTTTAAGGCCTGGTCCAACATAAGATATTGTTTGACCCTCTGAAAACAAGCTGTAACCCCTTTTAAATGAGAAAATAGCACTATTAAGAACAACTAACAAACAGTTAATTTTTTCATGAGTTCCTCATGAGCTCAGTGATGTCCATCCAGATTATCAAGATAAATATGGTCTTGCTGATGCTTTATAAACTGTGATGTTGACAGGAGCAAAATCAAGAGAAGCAGCAGGTCACATACACAATGGTTTTATGAAAACAGAAGCCCAAAGCAAACTTCCTTCAGGTCACGGGATCTTGAACAAGGAAAGGAAAAGGACTGTTAAATCTAATAAATAATTAGGATAGGATAGGATAGGATAGGATAGGATAGGATAGGATAGGATAGGATAGGATAGGATAGGATAGGATAGGATACACTATTTCTGTTGAAGGCACGTAGTGACCAACTAGTCCAACTATCTGACAACACTGAGCAAGAAAGGGCATCATCCAAATGCCCCTTGAACACTGACAGGCTTGGGGCATTGATCATCTGCCCAGGAAGCCTGTTCAGTGTTTCACCACCCTCTTGGTAAAGAAATTGGTTCTTAACAAAATAATGCATTGCAAAAGAACAATGGTAAGAGCATGCATGGAAAGAATATGATAATACCTGATCTTGTAAACATTCAGATTTGTATTTTAAAGCAGGTGAGGGTTTATGTTGCTTGTTTATGAAACCCCATATTAACAGAGAGTCACTTTAAAGCAGATCCATTTAATGACTCCATTACAATAAAATATTTAAAGCAATGTTAACTTGCCTCCTGTAATTTTTTTTCTTACAGCTTTCCCCCTAAGTGACCTGCGATATTGGCAGTATATATGTGGCTGAGATTTTTATTTGAAGTTCTAGTACACTTAGAAGCAGAGTTGTGAAGCTGTTTTTTCAAACCACAGACACCCTGGGAGAAGCTCCAAGCTTGAGCATGTGGAATCTACCATAGATTGGCACCACGGAAAAACTGAATAATTCTTTGTGATAATAGCTGTGCTTTGCCAACCTAAACAGGGTAGGTACATGATCAAATTTTGTGACTCATATTTTGTGGGGTCTTATATTTCCAAGTCTTGTTTTACAAAAAGCCTCCCTGTGCTAGGCATATATTTTCCACACATACAATCACTGTAGGTTTTGTGAGTTGCTGAAGAACTGTGAAAAAGTTCAGATGTTCCTCTGGATCTTTGTCTGCATTAGGCTCAGATTAAGACGAATAAATTTGCTCAATCACACACAGCATTGCGGCTGTGGTTGCTTAACTGGAGATGCTTGCATAACCTGGAGTAAGGTAGCATGGAAATAAAGGTTTGTATAATAGCTACATCTTCATCTGTTAAAAAGAAACGGAGGCAAAAATTGTTTAATTTATGTTTAGGGTTAGGTTTTTTATAAAGGCTGTCAGGATTATATAAGGTAAATCCAAGTGTGTCAGCTATATAAAGTTTTACTAATGGGTTGTGTTTCAGATTTATTTGGGGGCAAAATCAACAAAAACAGCAAGATGAACTCTTTCCTCTTCAATATTTGGGCAGGTCTTTATATAGCTGATGAAAAGTGTTTGTGTTTAAATGAATGTTAGAAGTCTTAATATGAAAAAATTTACGATGAGGCTTCTTGGGCATTTCCAGCTGCTGTGAAGTTATAAAGACTTCTGGACTGAAAATTTCATAATCTCATGCTGTTATCATGTATCCTATTGCAAATTGCTACAGACTTTGGTGTTTTCAAAATAGCAATTTTTAGAGAAAGCTGCAAGAATATTCTCAGCAGCACTAACTCCCAGTACACACAGTTAACTTGTCCCAGGTGCCTTGCTTTGGCTTCTCCTTGAACCAAGATCAACATCTCAGTTCTTACTTTTGAAGGACTAAAAGGTTGTCTTTGTGCTGTTGTTTTAATCTCTGGTCATCTCTCCGGACCACGTTATGTGAGTCATGGTCTCTGAAGCAATATAAACTGAACTCTGCTGTAAGGGATGGGTATTTTTTCTCTAAAATAGGCAGTAATACTTCTACACAAAACAACATGCTTTGTATCCTTCTTTCCTTGGAGACAAATGAGAAAC